AATAAAAAATTATACTTCAGATGTTAATTTAGTATCAAAAACGTAAAATATTTGAGTAGCCCAAGACATAGCCAAAGATTGAAGCGCCACAGCACTGGCAAAATTTAAATTTGCCGACTGGAATTCTTTCGGATGATTGACGTTTCGGATAATTGACTTTCGGAAAATCGACGCTCTACTGTACTGTAATATAAATCTTTTAAATTCAAAAGTTAAAATATTCTAAAAATAACTTTATCTCCAATGCAAAGATGAAAAATTTCAGTTTTCAGATGTTATACATATTGACAGAAGACAAGACTATAAAAACAAATAAAATAAAGCATTATAAATATTTTTGACATGTACAAAATATCATTGTTACAAATTTAAAACTGGGACTACAGCACAAAGAATACTTTTATATTTTAATGTTTAAATTTGTTTAAAGTTTTGCATAATGGTTTGCAACAGGAATTCCCAACCTGATGACCAGAGATCCCAAACAGATTACCTAGGAGTCAATTACTAAGGGTCATTTGGAAGTCGTTAAAAAGAATTAATAAAAATAAATATGTATTTATTTAAAAGTGTAACAACCACTAATATGCTTTTAAAGTTAATTTAAAAGTTATGTTTTACTTTACTAAATATAATTCAAAATTATTTGTTTATGTTTATTTCATATATATGCAATTTGTTCTTATTTCGTATCAATAGAGAAAGGAGTCAGCAAATTAAAATCAAATTCTGAAGAGGGATCATGTGAAAAACTTAACACAAACTGGAACCCATTGAAATAAAGCACACAAGAAACTTTTCTCATTCCAGAAAATATATATATAAGAAAGAAATGTTTTTGACCTGATTTATAGGCTTACATCAGGTTCACTTACATTCTTAATAAACATTCTTTTTTGAAATTGAGAGTACAAAAATGCATTTGACTAACCTTTTTTAAAAATGCAACTTTTATGTTTGACCTGAAGGTCCAGCTGGAATGATTGAAAATGTTAGTCATTACCAAGGTAATAAGTTACTGGAGAATTGTTTAGAAAAGAAGATTTTACAAGAAGGTTTGGAGCTATAAATATTCCTGATACAAAGTTTTCAATATTTCAGTTTTATGAACAAACTATTTTTTGAAGTACTGTATATAACTGATTTTGATAGTTATTAGTATAATGTGAACCAAAACAAATAACTTGTAGTTCAAAAACTGCATAACATCTTTTAGAAGGTAATGTAATCATTTAATTATTATTTGCAAATACTTTCATTATATAAATTAATGTTGTTAATTATTATTAATAAAATTTAATAATAATTTGAATATTGCTGAATTATTGTTTTTATTGGATATCAAAATCCAATAAAAACAATAATTCAGCAATATTAAATAGTTCTTATAAGTTATTATAAATTATTTCAAAAGAAAAATAGCTTATAAAATTTGTTTCAAATGCTTTTAAAATAAAAATTTAGAAATACACTTTCAATGCAGAAATATTATTATTATAATAAAATTAGAAGTTAAGTGTTCTAAAATTTTTGTTTGAAAATTATTTAAAAATTATATGAATTAATAATATAGTTTTGATTTTTCATACAAATATTCATATCAAGTATTCTTAAAATATTAAATTTGAGATTCAATTTACTTGAAGATTTATAGTAATTTACAAATTAAACAATTAATAATATAGTGCAATAGTGACATACTTTTGCAAAAATTTTTCCAATCCCTGACTTCTTTCCTCTATAAAATCTGGATCAAATCTATTTTTGAACAGCGATCTTGATGGAAGAGGTGGTGGTTGTCTAATGTTGCATTTTCAAATGAAAAACATATTACTAAATTTTTCAACTAATTAATTTTATTATAGATAATAAAATAACACACAAAATTCTAAAATTTATTTTCAAATTAGTTCTATTATAACAAATTATTAGTATTAAATATATTTTACTAGAATAAATTTTAGTATTTTAATTATGATCACCCAACATTCACAATTACACTGGAATCTGGTTAACTTGAATTGGTCACAAAAAAATTTGGACTTCCAGTTAAAAAGTTGAGTTATGGAGTTTGGCTAAAAAAAAAATTAAGATTTTGTGCAACAGTTTATTGATAATCCAGAATAAACTATCCATACAATATTTCCATGGGTTACATAGAATTGTTGTATTAAAAAACCTTCTCAATGTTGTCCAGAAACTTGAAAATGTTTAACTGAATGAATAAGTAAGCTACTGAGAAATGCTTTATCAAATGATTGATCCATTCACTCCTACGTGTTTAGTAAGGATCTTTTTTAATTGTGCTATTTTGTGCCTAGAATCAAGGCTTTTTTTCTGTTTTTTTAAGAAACTACTCTTTACGATTGCTATATTTTTAAAATTTTGCCACAAAGGTTAAAACTTTTATATAGAATCAGAATATAATTGTTTTTTAAATTAATTTAGCAAAAATTCATTTACAGTATTTACTACATCAAGTGATGAGAGAAATCCAATAAAAATAAAAGTTCGAAAATAAAGCAGGTTCAAATGGAAGTTACAATATCCTAGGTCACATACTGTCTGGAGCCTCCACCCCCTTCTTGCCATCACATGACACTATGTTTATTTTTAATTGTACATGGTTCCCATGCTTTATTGAAAGTTTCTGATTAATTAATGTAAATAATAACAAATAAACTATTTTATTTAATTAAAATTTCAGAGAGTTTATGAAAATACTGTATCAAAACCCCATTCAAGTTAACCAGTTTGATTTAACATGTAAATCCCTACGTTAGATGATCGGGGAAAGAAATGACTTCAAGTTATCCTTGCTCAAGTTAACCAGGTTCCATTGTATTATAAAGGCACACTTGCATAAATTGAGTTTTATGCTGTGACTATGATAAACTCAGATTTTTATCAGACAAATCTTCTGGGCAATAATGTTATTGATGACATTGTTTTAATCTGGTTTCACTAAAGCAAAATTTTATATTATATCTATATAGTTATTTTAACTGTGCCTATAATTGCATTAAAGTATGTCAATGTTCCAGGCACAACTCAATGCAATTATATACAGCTAAAAGCCTAATCTTCCTTATTGTAATACTGATGCTATATTTAAATATTTTAAATTTATATAACTCACATTGCTGGATGCTGGGACTTCAACATTTTCCTAAACTGAACAAATTCTGAATATCTACGTCTTATAGTTGATTTTGATAATGCAAAGGAAGGACTATTTGTCTGAAAAATTTATATTCAGCATGTATAATTCATGAAATTTTAATGCTTATGTTAAGTATCTAAATAACAAAATAAAAATTACAACCGTCATTTAATTTTTGTAATAAAATATCTTATATATTTTACAAAATAAGATTAATGAATGTTATATTGTAAAATTTAAGTAAGATTTGACTTTCAAAACATAACTTATACTAATTATTATTATTAAAATGTGTGTTCAGCAACGTAAAATACAACTTGGATGCTTCCAGACTGGAACTCATGAATCAAACTGTACAAGGCACTCATACTCATACCATACTCAATCTTAAAGGCTGTCCACAAATGACATTCACACTGGAAGAGAGGGAGGACAAGTCAGACAAGAAAAGACAAGAGAGATTGAGCATCAGTGGACATCCATTTATTTTGTTAAATTTTATACAGTTTATGCATTTCGTTATTTATTTCAAAATTTTTTAAATTATTTGTTTCTACTTATATTTATTATTCATAAAGTGATAAAGGTTTTAAGGGTGGGTCAAGTTTTGTTGAGCATCTGAAGAGGGAAAGGGGTTAAGGAAACTTGGACAAAGTAGAACAAGAGGGAGAAGGAGGAGGAGTAAAAATTTCAAAACACCAATGTAATTTAGGGTCAACCCCATATACAAAAAATTCATCAGTAATATTGTGCAAAACATGTGCTTCCAGCATAGGCAGTTTCAAACAAATCTGTTGTGTAACAGTTGGATTGAGATGAGTCATGAGAATTTCAATTTATTATTGTCACTATTCAGTTTCTGTAGTATCTTGGCATCCTGTACAGTATATCCTGAAATGTATCCTGCTCTTATGTCCACTGTAGTTAATTTTTAATATAAACTTGCAAGTAATAGGGTTACTAGATCAATGGAAGTTTAAAATTAAAAAAGATATAAGAGTCATCAAGAATGATTCAAACTTGTGCAACAGACTATTTTGCAACATTAAAGAGGATGCACAGATGCAGTGCAACAGCAAAAAGCAATGCCACAGACACATCTTCATTGTGCAGCAGCATGGCTACACAAGCAGCAATCTGCTTACATTTCAGCACAAGTGTACAATATTCAAGATGATGAATGATAATAAAACTGCCATTATCCTGTTTATTGCTTTGTACAGCTCGCTTCATTTACTAGATGCCCTCATAGAAAAAGATTTGACCAAAGACTGGATAATAGATATTTTCTTAGATTGAGAAAAAACTGGTGTGCAAAATACACTTATTCCTCAATTAAGTAAGATCTTTTGATAAAGAATACTATTCTGAGTGAGATTTGTTTGTTTTGTCCTTTGAATTAAATTATATATAAATTATTTGTATAGAATTTGTGTTAAATTTATTATCCTCTGCTCTTTTTCTAATGTCAGTTATCTCAATTAACTGCATTAAACTTTCCACCATTAAAACATCATGTGATTCTATATTCTTGCATTGGCTGATAGAAATGTATCTTGGCCTCAAAAAACAGCCTAGGACAGGAAACATTTGATGGGGGATTAAGAGGACTAGATTGTTGCTAACCCCCTGGAAGAGCTAGCACCTTCAGAGCCTTTCTTAGGATAGTCATGTTTGGACCTTCCTTTAACTCAACAGATCCAGTTTGTTCCAGGAACTCATTAAGTTTAGTCAGAAAATCATTGTTCTTACAAACAACAAACTTGGTCACCAATGATCTTTGGTGACCTGATGCAGATCTTGGTTAAGATCAAAAACATTTGTCAATTTGACATTAAAAATCAGTTCCCTGCATTGTTTGAATTGAAATGAAATCAGTATGTCTCATTTTCTAAGCAATTGTTATTTTTAATAAAACCTTTTGTAATCTAATGTTTGTTTGAAGCTATATACTTTCTAGTTTATTATGACAAATCTTTTGATATTATTGTTTAGTTTTGTTCTACAATAATGCTCTTAACTTTGTATAAACCAAAGTGTTGGCTACATTTACAAACCAGATTACATTAAATAAAAAATGTATTGTATTCTTTTTTTTTCACATGTAGTATAGAAATTTGTAATAAGATACATAATGTGGCTATAATAAAATATTAATTTTAATTAATTCAAAATACATTAAAATATGAAAATAATCACACAATATGTATTTATATTTTAGAAAACACAAGGGAAGCGGCACTTTAACAGCTTCCATGGACAGCACGCCACTGGTATGACATGTATACAATTTACCTTTGATTTACAATTCATACAATAAATATTAGATATTTTTGAATATAATAAGTCCAAAAGCAAAACATCTAGTCACTTTAGGAAGTGTGCTTGCAAGAGGGAAGTAAAAAATTCAGATTTTGAAAGCTCTAGATGGTTTTGGAATTATTGTTTTAAGAATTTTTGGAAAGTTCTAATACTTCCAATAATTCTCTTATTGTTATTTTTACTGTTGAGGCTCAAGAAATGTCTTACATTGAAGAGTCTGAGTGAATTTTTGTAATTCATAACCACTTCTCAATAAAATATATTATATTTCTAATGAAATTTCAATTGATGTTTCAATTTTCCTCCTATAATCTAAAAAAATTATTATTTTCAGCCTTGAATTCACCTTACCCTCTTGCAGGTGTACATCCTCACCTATCTCAAATCCATCAGCTATAGTATTTATTTCATTAACAAATTTTCATTTTGTTAACAAAGTTAAAAGAAGTTCAAATAAATATTGGAAATAAAAAAATTCTCCATGATAAAAAATATCACTTTTTATTTATTTACTTAATTTCCACTGAGTCAAAAATTTTAATATTTTAAGTACTGTAAAGTACTATATTATTTTTCCGACTTTTCAACGATTATCGACACTACTGTGTGCCGGAAATAGCCTTTCCCTAACGGGTACTTTACACGGATTCGCGTTAGTATGCCAGGCCTGGACTTTAAGCGTGCACCGAATTAAATAATGACAAAGTTTGTCAATAACAAAAATCAAATATTTAATTAAACTTCTAGTAATGAACTATATACAGTATTTAGTAAAAATCAAACATTAACTTATTCAATGAAATTCAACAAGAATCAACCCGACAAACTCAAATCAATCTATTTCTAACTTAATTCTATTCCCCTTTGGAATTTGACAAAATCAAAGGCTTAACTTATAAACAATAATTCTTATAAATTAAAGATCCTAATCGTCACCTCAATATACTAGGAACCTATTTCCTCAAACTCTCAAGACTTTCTATAANTTTTTAAGGGAAACTGGCCCCTATTTAGGCATTACAGACGTGGAGAAAACCCAGAAAACTCCACATGGCCAGCCCGTCTGAGCGAGGTGTGAACCCACGAACGAACTCTCTGTGTTTAAGGTACGAAGACCACTTAGCCACTGGTGGGTTTTTTTACTGAAAGCAACTTCGACTCAAAGAATCTTCCAATGAAGTGATACCCGTTATTTTTTGGAGGAGATTTCCCTTCTAAGCATTAAGGTTCGTATATCTCCACTTTTCTGTCACCACCTACAACAAACGAAGGTATGCACAGTGCTAGTTTATTAAACAAAGTTTACATGTTTGTTGCTGTAATGATACATACTACGTTTTCTTACATTTTCATCAAAGAAAATTACTGTATATTACAAATAAAATCGCAAAAATTTCGGAGACTAGAACAGATTAATTGCATTTGCATTAATTTCTATGGAAAAAATTGCTTCGGTTAACGAACGGAGTCGCGGAACGGATTAAGGTCGTTAACCAGGGTTCCACTGTATTCAAATATGACCCAGAATTTTAATTATTGTAACTTTTGTAATCACGGCTATCTTAACAGCACTGAGTAGTAGTCATAGGGGCCCCAGGCAAAGCAGTGTACTAGGGGCCCTATGACAACTACTCACAAAAAAAAATGTAAATGGATGTATATCAGGAACAATACAAAGCAGAAAAACTTAAATTAGCAATTAGTGAAGTAACTATAAGCCTTTGATTGGTATGTGTCATATATGATACAAGGTGCATCGAAGGGTTAACACCCAGATTAGTTTAGGGTCCACGTGTTAAGATGGCCCTGGTTGTAATTAGCTAATTACATTGACAAATGGTAGTATTATACACCAGGGACTCCTGTTTGGCTGGCTGACAACATTTGCTGATATAAGCAACTATACTATCATAATTCAAAATGAATCTAGTAGTATTAGCATGTATGTGAAACAGCATTGTGTAATCAAGTTTTTGGTGATGGATCCCTGACTTTCCCTGAATAGTACAATAAATTATAGAAACCAAATACAGTAGAGCGTTGATTTTCCGAATCAATTGGGGACTGGGGTTGTCCGGATAACTGATATTTCGGATAACTGATTTACGTATGAAAAAATAGTTTAACGTATCTGATTTAGAAATTTTTCTCCGTTGCATGTCGCTTCACGTTGAATTTTCGTCAATGTTAAGCCTAACGAAGACTATTGTATCGTTAAAAATTATTTTTTTATTTTGTACAAACAAAATATATATTGAAAAATACAAAAATAATAAAAAATTATACTTCAGATGTTAATTTAGTATCAAAAACGTAAAATATTTGAGTAGCCCAAGACATAGCCAAAGATTGAAGCGCCACAGCACTGGCAAAATTTAAATTTGCCGACTGGAATTCTTTCGGATGATTGACGTTTCGGATAATTGACTTTCGGAAAATCGACGCTCTACTGTAT